GTGTGTGTGTGTGTGTGTGTGTATAAAATATTTTTCTGCTTTTTTTCCTAGTTATGTCAGTTTGGGTCCTCCATACTGCAGAACTTGGAAGAGGTAATTTAATGTCTGAATCAGGAGTGTTGGACCAGGGAAAAACAAAACCTGTAGGGCTGTGGCCCTCGAGGACCAGGATTGCCCACCCCTGCCTTAATACCAACCTTTCTAACTGTCAACCAATTGAACTACCGGCTGACATTAGGTTATACCTAAAAACAGTTTTACCTCCTTATCTACCTTCCATTTAACTAATTTACCAACTTACCCACACTCTACCTACAAGTTAACCTTAGGACCAACTTCAAGACTGACCTACGCGTTTATCTACTTGTTACCTCTGGGACCAACCTACTTACTTAATTACCTGTCATCTAACCTACATACCTGTTGATCCGAGGTTCAAACGAAGAGCCATCAAACAATCTATTTACCTATCATTCAGCTGACCAACATACCTATTTATCTATCTGATCAACCTACCTCCACACCTACCACTTACCTTTTGACCAAACTTAGGACCAGCCTACCTACTTAACTACCTATAATCTTAATATTTCAGATTATAAATACCTGACAACAGATTTAAAATGTAATTCCAGAAGGTTTTAAATGTTTGGAATAATTAGAAACAGACATTTATCAGAGCTGACCACATCTGAATATTATAGTGAACATTAATCTCATAAAATCCAACGTTCTGTTCCATTTTAACGAGATTCTAATAAATAAAACTACAGTCAGTCTTCAGTTAGCCTTAAAAATATATTTCACATTATACTGAATTAGTCATACTTGTATAATGAAGTCATTTCCATGCCTCTAAAGTTGAAAAGCAATTTAAATTTTGCCTTCTCTTGAAAGCATTCCACGAACGCTACATAATTATTTTTTCACCTGGTGTGCTCAGAAATGTGCGCAACACTGCGAGGTACAAAGGGATTTATTTGATCAGACTCGTCTAACAGCCTTTCATCGCTTCACTCTCTGGTTTTCATCAAACCGAGCCATGCTGGGCCAGGTTTGGAATATTAGTGCCGAAAAATGTTTCTGTCCTAATATTTATACAGTTCCTTAAAAAAAGGAGAAATCACCTTTATAAAAGAGCTTTAGGCCAGTTCTCCTGGAAACTGCTCACCGTATGTATTCATTATGTTTAAATACGTCTCACTTTCTGTTCGTGTCTCTTCAGACGCTGCTGACGATGGTCGGCTGATCTCTGAACTCAACGTTTGGCTCGCTGAGCTTCGCCGGTCGCAGTCATGGCCAAAAGCCCRGAGGTCAAGCTGGCAGTGTTCGGCAAAGCAGGCGTGGGCAAATCAGGTAAACAGCATTTTGTGTTACTCATTTCCATACTTAAATGTCCCCGTTCATCATTTCATGGCGTTATTAAGGACACATTTAGGTCAAAATACAACCTTAGATGCTCAAGTAATGCTCCTAAAGTCTTGTTTTCGATGATTTAAAGTCTGTTTTACCAGAACAAGAAGTTATCTACAGTTTCTATCTGAGCTGTTTGATGTTTCACCCTGACAGTAAATCCCCCTCATACCCCTCCTGTTTGTGCAGTCATTATTACAGTAGATGGTTGCTTTTGGCCTCCTATAAAAGCCTTCACTCCCACACGTCATTTCAGCACTTCTCTACAAGCTGAATCAACCTTCCTTTAGGTTTCCTCACTGACGGTACGCTCCCTGTCAGCTGCAGCCTATACTTAGCAATCAGACGTTAGAAAACCTGCTTTGGGATCGCTTCCCCCTGTCGAACGAGGCCATTAAAGTGTCAGAAGCGCTGTACTACGAAGCGTAATTACTGTAAAAACACGAGGCTGACCCCAGAAAATCTCAGCATTTTAACCAGATTTTTGAGATTCTTAAGCCCCGAGTGACGTTTCTCCTCAAAATAAGCACAGTTACTGCTTCCTGTCAGGTCTGCCATCCTGAAACCTGTCAGTCATCTTGACAAGCTGCCCTGACGCTTCAGCTACAGACCATAATATCCCTGTAAACACAAGAAGGAAGGGTAAACAGATCATTTTCTTTAATAAAAACAGCACCCTGCTGACCCTTATTGCCTTTAAATCTCGGCTGGACTCAACTTACAACTGGAACATGACTAGAGGAAGTGGATTCTGCATGATGAATCCCCTTTAAATTATAGTTACTGTTCTGTTTTAGGTGTGAAGAGGTCGTTATGGGGCTGAGGCAGTTCTGTACTTGTCTTAAAAACACCCAAATGCATTAAAGATCATTGCTGGCTGGGTTTACCCTCATTATAAACATGTAAAAGTTTTCTTCATTCATGCTTCCGTATTCATTTCAGCTCCTAAATCAGCCTCGACGGTTCGGTCACGTCTGCGCTGAACAAATATAAACCAACGAGCCTCGCGTCAACATCCTCCGCCAACCTGAGGTGGTGGAAAAAAGTAATTATCGCTCCTCTGTTCCAGCTGCTCCCCCCTCCTTCACGAACAATTGATTTTGGCGTGGACTCTTAATCTACGCAGACGCCCGATCCATCACTCGCACGTCTTCCCTGCGGTCCTCCTCCTGCACGAACGCAGACAGCAGGACGGTGGGCGCTGCTCCCACATCCAAACACCAGCTTTCAATGGAAACAAACAGATGCTAATGAATCTGCTTGTCTGTAAACATGAGGACTCAGGCAGTGAATTACAGCTCAGGGACAACAACAGAAGGGAAAACAAAACTCCGTTATTAGATGGGTTTATGTGTTTGGAGGAGCACTGCTCATACGTAAGTTATCTTTTCATTGTCTTGACAAAAATAGAAATAAAGGCCCGCTAAGTCCTAGACATTTAGGTCAAACCTGGGAAACGACATGGTACAATCTCACGATAATCTTGGAAAATGTGTCGGTGCTTGGAGTATGTGTTGGGAGTGACAATCAGCTACTACCACAACAAATATGAACCAGTTTTTCCAACACTAAACCGAGTTCCAGACATTTTTGAGCAGACTAAGGTCAGCCATCTTGAATTGGGTCAACTCCAACAGTTAGACAAAAGAAAAAGAATTATATGAATTATAGTTACTATTATTATTAACATTGTGTCATTTACAGCACTATGTTAAAAGGAATGTAAATATAAGTTGTTTGGATTATCAACTTTTCTAAGCATTTATTTTGTCAGAAAATATCTGTTCAAGAACAAATTTACTGTAAATCAGGACCATACTGCATCTACATAAACACTACATGTTTAATATACATTTCATTTGTTTAAAATGTCTCATTTCATCCATGTTTTCAATGGTTAGGTTAAGTGTGCCATTAAAACATTTAATTTATTTGTGGCAGCGTTTAGATTTATAATCCCAGTGGACACAGTTAACTAAAAACATAGCTTTGTTAACCACTAATCCGCTAACAAGTTCCGCTAACGCTAATCCGCTACACAGATAAAAAAAATTAGCGGAAGCTGACGCTAACCACTAAAGCTGGTGGGACTGACTTTTTATTGCTTTAATTTGAAGGTGGGCGGCCAATCCAAACCAGAGTTAAAGCTCCATCTAACTTGTGACTTCCAGTTTACTCCTTTCAGCATAAAAGTCTTTCTGATGAGTTTGTATTTTTATAAATACAGTTTAAAGTTAGTCAAATAACAAATGGCAAATACTTTCTGTACTATATTTTAAAAGGTAGTCAATATTTGTGTTCATTATTTAAATATCGTTAAATGTAATTTTATTTCTTTTTGACACTCTTAATTTAAGTTCAGCTGCTAAAGATGCTACATGCTAACACACGGTGCCTGACACGTCCAACACTGCTTGTAGGAGGGAATAGATTTTTTTTTGTTTCGGGATAAATGGCATAAAAATAAGAAAGGTTTACCCTTTTTTAGTGGACTTAAAATTAGCAGAAACTAATCAGTCCACTAATGTTTTCCAAAGTTATCAAAAAAGCCAATCTGCTAAATGAGAAGCTAGCTAAACTATTAGCAGATTAATGGAATTGTGCCCAACACTGTACAATATTAATTTATTATAAAAATATGTTCAGTATCATTATATGGTTGTTGCATTTGGCCACTTCAGTACCGTCCCTCAGGGTCCCCCTTCAGCTTGGGAGCCCTATGCAAATGCCTACCTTACCTACAGCTCTGCATGCAACCTTTTCTTTGAGTTTCATTGGAGTGGTTCAGCAGATATTTTGCTAACAAGCAGACAGACATAAACATTAGTTTTTGTCTTTTCTTCTGGCAGTGTGTGATAATAAAAGTTTTGTGCTGCTTTACCTCCATAACGTCAGCACTTCCTGTTTTGTTTGGACTCGGGTCGTCCCGGTCAGGCCTGCAGGGTGCTTCAGTGGGTTTTCCAGACCGACGGTCTGACAGGGACTCCTGCAGAGACACATTATACTAATAAAGAGGAGGGAGCATTAACTCAAGTGTAGCTATTTTGGTGCTTCACAGCTTTTATTTGGGTTTATTGACTCAGTGGTGGAAACTGTGCAGAGGAAGTAAGATCCATTTACCCACTTAAACTGCCTCCAGTTCAGGCTCTGCAGGCGCACATACATCAGCATAAACAGTGAATATGACAGCTCAAATCCTTACAAACCTACAGCTGATGTTAAGTCCAAACTTTAAAACTTCACTTTCAGAAAATAAAATCTACATCGACAGATTAAATCTGGAACACGACGCCTCCTGCTCTGAAAACAGCCAAAAAATGTTGAAAAAAAAATGGAACAATAAGAGCAGCAGCAGCCAGCGTGCGTCTGTCCCAGAAATACCAGCGTTTGCCACCTCCAGCACCAGGAGGGACTCATGAATCATTGTGATGGGTGCTCCGAGCGTGACGTAAACATTCAGACAGCAGACCAGAGCCACAAAGCCACAAAAACAAAAGCGAGACGGCTCGTCTAACAACAAACAGATAAAAATACCCTAAATAAACCGACACGATTGCACAACGCCTTTTTGGATTTTAAACTCACTCTAATGTACAAATAAGCTCACAATTTCGTGGTTACTTGATAAAATTCTAAGTGTAAAACAAAATCAACCCCCTGCACCGTTGAGTGGAGGGAAATAAAAGTCCTGGAGAGAAATCAAACACGTTGATTTGATTTGATAAGAAGTGTTGACCGAAGCTCAGAGCGGACAGCTGTGCACTCAGCCAACTGTTTACGTTTCCCTCTCAAAGTCTGAGTGTTTCTAATCAGGTGGGTTTTACTGCAACCTGAAAGCCCAACACCACCGCTTTTAAACAGTGTTAAAAATACATTAAAAACAGATTCTGGACCTTTAAATCCTCCTGAAACTTGTTAAAGGGTAGAGTTAACCATCACGGTACAACCCAAGAAACAGGTCTTACAGGTAGGACTCCACCAGGGTCATCCCTCGTCTTCAGTCCAGTTTGCTGTTGGTTTCAACTCTTTGCAGACGATGTGGTTCTGTTGGTATCAGACCGTCGGTGCGCACTGAGGCAGTTCGATGTCCTACGTAAGAGACCGTTGCTTTCAGTTTCCTCACCTGAGCATCGCAGTCTTGTTGCTCAAACTTTCCAGAGCATCTCAAGTTAATCACAGCCCCTCCGACCCATCAACAGTTCTTAAATCWTAAACGTGTCGGACGATGTGGACGAAGGCTAGAGACTTACCAGAAACACCTTCAGCTTACAAAATAAATCACWTGCATGCATCTTTACTGTTGTATTTGTTGTTTTGTATGGAGATAAATTAGTCTCACAATCCTCACATGCACACAAGATACGACCACACACACCAAATAAATATAATATTACCGGAAAAGTATAATTTTGAGTGGTTTGCTTCAAATGTTCAGTCTGCACGAATTATATTATAAGGTTATCTTSAGGTAAATTGATTAGATTTTTCTTCTACAAAAATTTTCCGGTAGTTTCTCCACAAAAAATAAAATAAAATAAAATAAAAATTGTTTGGACTGTACAGCCAAAATAAATCTAAATGAGTAGGTTATTGTTTTTGTGGAAAAAACTACCAGGAAAATGTATTTTTCCATTAAAGTATTTATTTGTTCCGATATATTTCCTTTTAACTCATTTTAGGTTGTTTATTTCAGCCGCACAGTAACATTTTAGAACCCAGTAATGTAATTGTTTGTATTTTAATATTCTGTAGGGTTTATGAGCAACAAGTCAGAAATGTATTTTCCTGCAATAATCCAGTAAATGTGGTAAAGCTCAGATGTCCCAGCTCTTCAGCAGCCTTACAGGTGTGAAAGTSTCAAACACCACATCGACAGGTGAGCAGATCAGAGCTTGAACCTTGTTGTTCACACTCTGTGAGACTGATTTATCTCCATATTTCTGTTGCTGCTGTATAGCAGGGTCTGTTAGTACTGGGCTTTGGGCTCAGGACRTGTTCCTCATATGAAAAGGCTGCTGGTGTCCTGTGATTCCAAACATAAAGACAAGCAGCCGAATAATCCATCCTCTTTTGACGCGGACAGAGTGAGACCATAAAGAAACTGATTGCATCACGATAAGGTGGGCTTCCAGTGCTTCTGAGCGTTTTGTTCATGAAATTATTTTTAGAGCCCACCTCCGACTCGCTTCAACCTTTGCCTATTATCTGTTTCTCATTCATGTTCTGTGACGGCAGCTGCTACCTTCGGCTGCTGGAGCCTTCAGCTGCTGTGTTGAGTCATCTGTTTATCTCCTGCTTTTAACAGATTTCATGTCTGAAGTTTAGCAAAACCTAAAAAAAAAGCTTCAGTGTAGATATTCTCTTTAAAGGGCACACTGACAAATATGATTATTATAGAATAATGTAGCTAAATCATAGCTCAAGGCTAAAAGTAACTAAATCATAGCTGAAGGCTAAATGTAGCTGAATAAATTAAAAGCTAAATGTAACTAGATTGTAGCTAAAAGCCAAGTGTAGCAAAAATCATACCTTGAACCTAAAAATTAAACCAGTCGCTGAAGGATAAATGATACTAAATCATAACAGAAGGCTAAATGTAGCTAAATGAGCTGAAAGCTAAATGTAGCTAGACTGTAGCTAAAAGCTAGATGTAGTGAAATAACTTGAACCTAAAATAACAATAGCTGAAATCTAAATGTTACTAAATCACAGACGAAGGCTAAATTTAGCTAATTCAGAGCTGAAGATCTAATATAGATAAATCAGCTGAAAGCTAAATGTAGCTAGACTGTAGCTTAAAGCTAGATGTAGTGAAATACCTTGAACGTAAAATAACAGTAGCTGAAATCTAAATGTTACTAAATCACAGACGAAGGCAAAATTTAGCTAATTAAGAGCTGAAAATCTAATATAGATAAATCAGCTGAAAGCTAAATGTAGCTAGATTGTAGCTAAAAGCTTTGTGTAGTAAAATTATATCATGAACATAAACTAAAAAACAGTAGCTGAAAACTAAATGTTACTAAATCATAACTGAAGGCTAAATGTAGGTAATTCAGAGCTGAAGCTCTATTATAGCTAAATCAGCTGAAAGCTAAATGGAGCTAGATTGTTGCTAAAGCTTTTTGTTGTAAAATCATACAATGAACCTAAAATAAACAGTGGCTGAAAGCTAAATGTTTTTAAATATTACCTGAAATTTACATTTTGCTCTATTGTAGCTAAAAGCTAAGTGCAGCAAAATCATATCCTGAACTTAAAATTAACTAAAGTGTAGCTGAACACTAAATGTAGCTTAATCATAACTGAAAGCTAAATGTAGCTGTATTAAAGCTAAAAGCTAAATGTAGCAAAATCATATCTTGAAATTAAAATTTACAAAACAGTAGCTAAAAGCTAAATGTTACTATAGCTGAAAGCTAAGGCTAAATGTAGTTCAATTAGAGTTGGAAGCTTAATGAGACTGGATTGTAGCTAAAAGCTCAGTGTAGTACAATTATACCATGAACATAAAATAAAAAACAGTAGCTGAAAGCTAAATGTTACTAAATCATAGCAGAAGGCTAAATGTAGCTGTATTGTTGCTAAAAGCCATGTATCAAAATTATACCTCGAACATAAAACCTGAGCTAACAGCTAAAATTAGCAAAACAGGATTGTAATAGCAGCAACATTGAAGCTAAAACTAAATTTATGACAGTATCTGAAAGCTAAAAAGACAACAGAGCGAAGGTAAATAAATGACCTCATCACATTAAGTGCAGCTGATGTTTGAACTCAAGCACCTGCAGTCAGAACTCAGGGTTCTCTGRTGACTCCAAATGAACTTGATGTGTTTGGTTGGGTTTAAACAAAGGATGGAAGAAGTTATTATAATAATAATCATATTTTAAAACAGTGTAGACAGCTTCACTACGGTTTATAATTCTAAACAGTCAATTAAATTTGAGACTCCAGTTCATGAAATCTGAGCTCATTAGTTGGTTTGTCTAATATACTTTCAAATAAAAACGCTTGATGTTCATCAGAAAACACAAAACTAATAATAATGACGTCCAATAAAAGCAGACCTGCTGCTTTAGGAGCCTCAGTAGAGTTCTGGTTCCAGCCCACAACTCATTAGACCCAATTGTGTTTAATAAGCAGGAATCTCTAAACCCACATTTCCTAATGAGTTTAGAGGAAAACGATGAGTCATGTTCTGATAATCAGCCAGCTCTAATTCCATCTGCACACAGATTTATTCTTTCTGAACGCAGAAATGGAAACAAGACGGTTGTTTTTATTTTGTGGTTTGAAATTATTTTATAAAAGCCTTCGCCTCATCCAGGAGATCGCTGCTAAGATTTTTATGGTTTTAAATTTTAACACCTTCAAATATTTCTCTGAAACAAATTTGAGATCTGATGATTAAAAAAAACCCCACTGAAATCTGCTTCAGCATACATTTAGCTTCTAGCTCCTGTTCTGCTACTTTTAGCTTCTAGCTACTGTTCTGCTACATTTAGCTTCTAGCTACTGTTTTACTACTTTTAGCTTCTAGTTCCTGTTTTACTACTTTTAGCTTCTAGCTAACATTGTGCTACATTTAGCTTCTAGCTCCGGTTTTACTACTTTTAGCTTCTAGCTACTGTTCTGCTACATTTGGCTTCTAGCTCATGTTTTACTACTTTTAGCTTCTAGCTACTGTTCTGCTACTTTTAGCTTCTAGCTACTGTTCTGCTACATTTAGCTTCTAGCTACTGTTTTACTACTTTTAGCTTCTAGTTCCTGTTTTACTACTTTTAGCTTCTAGCTAACATTGTGCTACATTTAGCTTCTAGCTCCGGTTTTACTACTTTTAGCTTCTAGCTCCTGTTCTGCTACTTTTAGCTTCTAGCTACTGTTCTGCTACATTT